AGGGACACTTAGACGGCAAGTGATACCAGCTTTATGGCTCAGTCTTCACTAGAGCTTTACCCTTCTAAGCCTAGGTCTAAGCTTCTAAGGTATAACTCTGCTTAGAATTGTGTAGGGTTGCCAGGTCCTTCCATCGCTCCGGCAGGGGGATTTGGGGGGTGTTCTAGGGATGGGTGGGGATGCCCCAAGAGCAACCACCTGGCCAGCCATCCCTCTCCTTCCCCTTCTGCCTGATTTGAAGAGCTTCAGCTGCTCAGCAGGGACCATGTGGGCTGCTGATCAGCTGGAGGGTCCTTTAAATCTAGTAGGAGGGAGGGAGAGGTGCAGTGAGCCCCATGTGCCGTAGCTCCCACCCCACTCGCAAAAAGTGTAGCCCGCAACTGCCCCTCTTCCTCCCTCCTGCTAGATTTAAAGGGCCCTTCAGCTGATCAGTGGGCCACGTGGTCCCCACCAATCAGCTGAAGCTCTTTAAATCGGGCAGGAGGGGAGGGAGAAGGGTGGGTGGGTGGTCGCTCTTGGGGGGCAGGGCTTCCCCCATCAGCCAGCTGGCCGGGGGCAGATTGGAGCCCCCAAAAGCAGGGGAACCCCCTGCCCAGACATGGGGGCTGGCAACCCTAGAACTGCATGGTAAGAATCTATTTTGTTCCCCTGAAGTGATTTTGCTGGAACGTTGGCCTCAGCCTAGAAAAAACAAAAGAAAAGAAGAGTTAATATCATACTTATTAGCAGCTGCACGTCAGCTTGTGGCAACAAAGTGGTTAGAAAAGAACCCGCCTAACCTATCTCAATGGTATGATCAAATATGGGAAATTTTCATTATGTATAAACTGTCAATAAAAATGTCTAATCCTGATAAATATAATAAAATATCTAATCCTGATAAATATCATAAAAAAGTTGTAGCTGTTTGGTATCCTGTTGTAAGTTATATGTTGAACAATGATATTATTCTGGATAATCCACAATACAAAAAAATGGTGTATTTTTGATTGATATAGTTAATAAAGAACAATACAATTTGCTGTATTTGGTTTGTTTAATGTTGACATTCTGTAATTTCTGAAAAAATTGTTAATAAAAAAAAAGAATTTATTTTGGGCTAGTTCAGCAGGTTGTGAATACTTACTTCATTTATACTCTGCATTTCTCCCCAATGGAGCTCCATAATGGCTTACATTGTTCTCCTCCATTTTGTTCTCACAACAATCCTATGAGATTGGTTAGGCTGAGTATGTGACTGGCTCAAGGTAATCCAGGAAGCTTCCATGGCACAATGGGGATTAGAATTTGGGTCTCCCAGATTCTAGTCTGACACTCTAACCAGTACACCGTGTTTAAATGGAAAAATAAATTTAAATAAATCAAGAGAAAGAGCTCATTTTATTGACTGACCTTGTAACATACCTCTTTGGGGTGAGTGGAAGAATGGATGAATATATCAGAATTTAAAATAGTAAAGAGATATGTTGATTGTGGCTGTGTATGGAGTTTTTGAAGCGTACATGATATGCTGTTGATTTTTTTTTAAATATAGAATGTGCAGCACTTCCTAGCTCAAGGCTTCATCTTAATGCTACTTTATAGTCAAATGGAATCATATGCCAGTCAAAGTGTTCAGTGCTTCACCATGTCACAAAAAAAGTTTTTATTTTGAAGTTATTTTTTCTTATTGTTGAAAGTGAACAGGTAAGTGCTCTACTAAAGAACAGTATGGGGGATACAGGAACAAAGCTACATTATATCGCTCCATTGTGGGGGGTGTTGTTTTTGTTGAGGCTTATCCCGAACAGTTAAAGTTTACTGTAGTTCTGTCAGGGTTTCATTTAAGTCTGAGAACTCTTAAATCTAGCTTGCAGAACAGAAAACACCTGGTCGTTTGCATCAAATTTCTTCTGATGCCTATAAAACTGGTATGTTTCTGTAACAAAGGAATGGGATCTCAATAGATTCCTACTCCCTCATCCGGAATGAATGCAAGCTGGAGTTCCCTTACTCAAGAGATACAAGTAAGACATTCTATGGCATGTGTAACTCTGTCAGCCTATATGTTTGCTACAAGTGTAAGAGATAAAAAGATATAATTGGTGCCCTCCCTGGAAGTGGATCTATTCTTGAACCCCACCTACTCTGCTGCTTGGCACAAGAAGCTGGAGCTCTTACTTGCAAGTTAATTCCTGTACTACATTATGGTATATATAAAGGCTACAACTACTCAAAAAGCAACACAAGGACTTATCTAGAAAAGAAAGAGCAAAAAGAAAAGAGGAATACTGATACAGACACATCTTTAGCAGTGTTCCCTCTAAGCTCCACAGTGTTGTAAGCAAAAATTCTACCTTGTGAACAAAAAAAGCCAGTAGCATTAAAGTTGTAAGCAAGTCTACATTTGACTATTGCATAAATTAGTTTTTAGATTATTTCCATAACCTTGTAAAAATCTCAGAATGAATTCTTTTAAACTATATTTAAACTATATTTTAAGAATAATTTAAACATTATAAAAAAACAGAATCAAGTAAAATTTCATTACAGAAAATGTTGTCCTCTATGGGAATAAATCAGGCCTCTGGAGAATAGGTCTACCCTCCCCTTTATATTTGTAGACCTGGCCTCCAGAGAATAGGTCTACCCACCCCTTCCCACTATATTGGTACATCTGGCTTCCAGAGAGCAGGTCTACCTGCCCCAGTCCACTATATTTGTAGCCCTGGCCTCGGACTGTTGCCCTGTGCTGACTCTTAGAAAACATACCAGCACTTGGGGGTGGGGGCACTTGCAGTCTACTTTGCGGGGTTTTTTTTAGTGAAATATGACAAATTACAGGTCAAGTATAACAGAGGTGGAACAATCACTGTCAGAACCCTGCCTAACCTAACGAACAGGAAGTTTAAGTGTTATCAACCTGCCCAAACTACTTATTTATTCAAATATTTATATCCCACTTTTCCCTGTGACTCAAGGCAGCTTTCAAATCATACCGAAAAGCATAACTGGTGCGCAAAAAAACCCAACTATTTTCCAGCTCCATTATAACGTATGGGGCCCATTGACTACAGTGGTCCCCATAGGCTATAATGGAGAATTGATCTGGGGTTATCTGGGGCTCTGGGGGACTTTTTTCGAGGTTGATGCACCAGATTTGCAGCATAGCTGCTGGTGCCTCTCCTCAAAAACCTCCCTAAGTTTCAAAAAGATTGGACAAGGGGGTCCAATTCTATAAGCCCCAGAAGAAAATGCCCCCATCCTCCATTGTTTCCAATGGAGGGGGAACTGCCTTAGTTTGAACAGAAGCTAAATTCCCTGAGCTGGCCTCTAAAATGTTGTGTGCCAACGCCCCCAAGCACAGCTTAGAGGGAACTCTGATCCTTAGTATAATATTTTATTAGAACTTTTTTTACAATTGTAGTACCTTTGATTGTCTGTATGTCTCATTATGTGAATACAGAATGCTAATAATATATTGTGCAGTCTTTCTGATTTGTATGCTTTCTAGTAAAAATACAAACTCTGGAGTTAATGGAGCACTATAGTCTCTCCCAAATGTGGAACAGCAAAATCTTTTCAGTTAAACTTTGCTATTATATTCTTAATAGCATTTTTATTATTATATACATATATTTATCATATAGACAATAAAACCCCAAAGTATCTTGTTAAAACTGTAAAACAAAATGTGTAAAAACAATTGTAAACATTTTATTTTCTTCCTTTAATTTCTTTTTTGTTTTGTATTTTTGTTTTGATTTCCCCGTTGTTTCTTATTTTTTGTTAATGTATGACTGTGTATTGTTGTGTAACTGAGTAATGACAGTTTTAGAACTCCCAATCTATTAATTAGATTGTAAAGGTACTTTTAGATTAATTTTCATAATTTGAGACTTACAAATAGAACTACAAATATATTCTACTTATCTAAATTATTCTGAGAAGCATTAAAAATGCTTTGAAGAGACATTTTAGAAAAATGGGATTGGCGCTGATATAACACTGGCTTTGTTAACTTGGGGCGTGGGTCTATTCTACTTGTTTTCAATCATGTGCCCACACAGATCTGTTAAAGATTTGACTTCTTTGTTGCTTCCCCAAAGGAAAATACAAATTTTCTTTGCAATATGGTATGTAGTGCGATGAAACTACAGTGAACATTAATATTCTGCAGTTTCTCAGTTTTCCAGAACAGATCTCTTTTTCTTCTCATTTTTACAGAAGCCTTTTTCCCCCACAGGGTAGGTTGTGTGGAATTCATTTGAAAACTTATTTGGAGATTTGATGAGGAAGTGTAAATGTAATCTGTAAATTGCACATCAACACTTGAAGCAGCTGAAAGCATATGGCAGGGCTGCTACTGTTCCTGGTTTGTTGGACCACTGTGCAATTTGGATTGAGATGACTGTAAGATTTGAGACTGCCAGCTGGAACAGAATGAGAAGCAGTAGATACATGTCATGGGTTTTTTTTCTTGATGTGTTTTTTGAAATAAAAATGGAACAGTTGAAATTGATGCCTTTGATGTATACAGCAGAATTGGAAATATCCTGCATACTCAAAAATAACTTCCCAGAGTTATCTTGCGCTATTTCCCTTTAGAGAACATATTTTGTAGTTTGGCAGCATTTATGTTTATTTGTGGTAGGAGTTACAGCATGTTTTGTAAGAGGGGTGCCTTGTCATGGTTTATAGAATGTGCAAATTCTACAGCTATCTGTGTTCAGGATCAAGTTGGGACAGTACAAAAAAAAAACAAACACACAACGGTTTAATATACCCAAACAGAATATGCATCCTTATTTTTGTTTTTACAGTTTCCTTGTATAAAGAGTTCTGCTAGTTCTTCTGAAGTTAAGGAACCAGGAAATTATTTAAGAGGGAGTAAATTTTTTAAAACTATGATATCACTTCCAATTAGAAACTTCTGTGTCCATTTTCTTACAGATGGGTCACCTGGAAAGCAAGATTCTTATTGCCTTAAATTATCTGATTGTCTGTGTTTTGTCTTTCAGAATATGACAAACTGGGCTTTCTTCTGAAGTTGGACTCCAAATTGTGAGTAAACCATAGAAGGGCTCTTTCTTGATCTGTCATCATACAATTCCACTGGAGGCAAAATTAATTGTTATCTTGGCTCTGTGTGGTAGCAATTAACAAGGTCACAAAAAGTTCATCAGTTTATAAAAAGCATGTAGAAGACCATAGGTTGTATGCAGAAACATAATGCTCAGGTCCCTATTTGCAGGCTCAAGGTAAAAAATACGAAGGGAAAGAGACTTAAAAAGTTTGAAGTAGCTTGATGAGACTATATTTCTTTCCAACAGCACCAATACAATACTCAAGGTTATAATAGGAAAAGGATAGGAGAAATCAAATAGAACATTAAAGAAGTGAATACGAAAGAAAAGAGATGAGACTTGACTAATTTTATATACAAAGGGTGCAAGAGGAATATCTCAAGGTGGAGAGTTCCATACACAAGGACCACAAGGGGAAGTGTCAAGATGAGAAAATAGCATGAGGGAGTGGAGATTGAATGAATGGAGGGACTGAGAAAAAGAGCAGGACAGCAGCAAAGATTGATAAAAGGGGGAAAACTGTGAATAGGTTTGAAGGTTAGATGGAGGAGCTTAACCTTAATACAGAACAACAGATAGAAACACATAGAAATGTAGCTAGTAATACTGCCAATGTTTATAATTACCTTCACTGGACTATGAATTTTGGCCCACAATGCTTGCAGGCAATTGATTTCTGATAATCTGGAGTGTACCTCAGCCTTTGTCAATTTTCTGTTAGGAAGGGGCAGTGACAGAAAACTCTCTTCAGAGGCCCTTTATAAGACTTCCCCACCATGTGCCCCACCATGTGCAAATGCTGATACCCACAGCCATCCAGGACAGCATCACCAGAGCTGCAGGCTGGGCAGAGAGGCATGCAACCTCACCTTGGAACCCTGAACCGGTATTAATGTGGCTGCGGCAACTCCCAATTTCCTGGTGAGGCTGCCACTAAAGCGAAAGGGTTCTGCTTGACTGCTGCAGATAAGGTTGTTTCGCCATGCTGGCTCCGCCCACTCACACCTCGAGCAGCCTCCTGTTCCCTCCCTCACACCAGTTGATCACTGGCCGGATAGGAGCCCTGGATGGGATGATTCCAGCCCCCAGCCCTTATGGTTGACACCCCTGCTTTAGATTTTTTGAGCTTCAAAATCTCTCCACAGCAGGCCTACGTGTGTGCATTAACCCTCATATGACTGCATAGATGACCACTTGGTGAACAGCAGTTACCCGTAAATGTAACCCTGTTTTCTTGGCCTTCTTACTTTGGGTATGTTATAAAGTTGAGGGATATGAGTTATAGTCTGTCCTAATAGGGTTGCCAAATCTCTTTTGGCCGGGAGCGGGGGGCTCCCGGCCGGCGTCTGGGTGTGTGCACGTGTCACCCGGAAGTGACGTTGCACGCTGGGGGCAGGGCCACTCTTTGTTTTCCCCTCAAATGGCCTTGGCCCCGCCCCCAGCATGTGACGTCATTTCCGGGTGACGCGCACACGGGGGGGTGGGTTTTTCCCCAGGCCCGATTTTCGTCACGTCGAAAATCGGGCCGTCAAAGCGGGGGATTCCCCGCCCCCCGGCGCCATTTGGCAACCCTATGTCCTAAAGATATTTTGGCCATTGTGGAATTGCATATGCCAGCACAATCACACCTTCCTCATACTCATTTCTAATGGGATTGTGGCGAACAGTATACCACAGGTTTATAAACTGTTTATAATCCTGACTGTTCATCTTACTATGTGCCTAGTCAGGAAGGGGTGTGTGTAACTTTGTGGAGGGGGATAACTTTGTGGGGGGGGGTATGAAGGGTAGCAGCTGCCTGAACATCTTTCCATGATTTTCAGTGTGGAAATATAGCAGGATACTCATATGACAGGCTGCTGTTTCTCCATATCACTTCCTTTGGCACAGAGATGGGGTATGAAAAGTCTCAGCTTGGAAACACACGAGGGTACTTTCAGCCAGCTCTCTTCACCCTTTGGTGTATAGGCAAAGAGAGTGAACATATGGAGACAGCAGTCCAGTCTGGGTTTTTCGATCGTCTTTCTTTTGATCTTTAGGAGGCAGTTGAATACAGTTTTATTTAGGACTGCATTTGATTAATTTGGTGGCAGTCTTAGATCGTAGCTTTAAATCCTGGTTTTTATGGTGGTCATTTTATTTATATTATAAATCACCTTGAGTTCTGTAAGGTGGAAAAGTAACTAATAAATGTTTTAAATAAATAAATAAAATGCAGGCATTTGAATGGCTAGGCTGCTTCTTCTGATTCACAGTGTGGGAGAGTGCTGTAGCAGGCACAGTATGGCAGCCTTTCTCAGTTCTCTCCATTACTTCTGTAGCCAAAAAGCATGGAAAAGAAAAAGCATGGAGAAGAAAGTGTCCGGAGCTGTCTGGAGGTGCAAAATGTGTATAGAGGGGACAGATACAAAGGTGGGGCAGGGTTGATGATAATGTTTGGAAGTGGGGGTGAGGACGGGGCAAATGGATGACCTCCATCTGTGGTTGTAATTGTAATGCTGGCATAAAAAATGGTGGCAGAGTTCTGTATGACACCTCTGTAGCATAAAGAGTTAATAAACAGTAGCATACTGGTCTGGAAGGTAAAAAGCCTTGAACTCATTAAGCTGACAGTAAAAACTAGTTTACACACTGAGAACTCTGGCAATAGCCAGTATGTGGTGGTTCAGTATGCATAACATAATGTATATACCATGCATACATTTGTACACTGAGTAATTTTTTTAACTTTTGTGGTCAGTTCTGAGATGGAACTTGCTTGAGAATCACAGAGATGTATGTTGACGTTACCAATATGTACAGTGGCTTGTATGTATAGTTCGATACGCTGCCATGTGTGTATTGCTGAAGAGATGTGTATAGAATCAATTGGCAATAGTTTCCTGCCATGCTGATGTCATTTCAGCACTGTATTTCTACTAGTAGTGCTACAATTTGATTTTCTAGTTCCAGATAATGTCAGTTTTAACCAATGTATGATTGAAGTGCCTAAAGTACGCAACTTTCGTAGAAGGGCAAATATGTTATGGCATTACTGGATCTGCATATTTTTGGTCTTTGCATGTTTCAAATGTTACAGCTGGGCACAGTGAGGTCATTAAGAAATGTTAGCCCAGCATGGTGTTGATGACTTATCTTGTTTTATATAACAATTTTATGGTACAAAGAAGGGATCAATAATGTCGTTGCCCTAACTGTGAAATTACCCAAGCCACTTGTGAATGATGGTTATAAAGAGTTTTCAGAGCCTGTCTTGAATTTCTCTGGTTGTAACACTTCCAGCCTACCCTGGTGCTGCTACATTTATATTCCCTTTGGGGCTTATACCTAACTGCTGAGAGCCTGACAAATACAGTGAGCAAAACCCATAGCCATTCTGCAGCAAGCTGAAGGAGTGGGTGGGAGATATTCCAGATTCTTACTCACAAAAGCTAGAAGCTGCTTGTTATTCCTTCCCCGTAAGGCTGCTTTGTACCCAAGTATGTAGAACAGGGGTCCCCAACCTTTTTGCACCTGTGGGCACCTTTGGAATTCCAACATAGAGTAGTGCAGCCACAAAATGCCTGTGATGGGAGGCAAAGCCAAGCACAAAATGGCCACCGGACACACTCGTGTGTGCACACACAGCCCAAGTGCAGGGGACAAGAGGAGTAATTTTTAAAAGCACACAGGGGAAGAAGTATGTGAGAGAGGTTTAAATTAAAAATGTTCTAAACTTTTTTTCTGTTTGTAGGGTATTCAAAACAGTTAACATAACAAAGTTAACAGCTACTGTATACCAGTTGAAGTTTCTAAACCATCTGCAAAGGGAGCTTCATGTAGAGTGCAATGTGGTAATCTAATCTGGATGGTACCAAGCAATCTGTGACTGTAGCCATGTCAGTTTTCCCTATCCTGGCTAAACTGTCTAGAAGGATACCATGGTTATATGCAGAGTTAGGTAAAGGGGGAAGAGAGAAATAGTAGAATTAAAATGTTCCAGTTCATTTCTAATGTTCAGACTTCCTCAATAGTAAGTCCTTATTTTACATATAGGGAAAAATTGCATAAATTAAGTAGTGACTATTCAGTGATGACCAGAAATTTGATTTAATATTTTCTTTTGCTTCATTTCAGGTATCATTAGTAGCCAGTGGAAAGGTATAAAGCAGGTGTGAAACGAAGACTAGATTGAAGTAAGCCATAACAAGTGATAAGTTCCAGAAGAGTAGATATATTAGTCTATAGCAGGAAGAAGATATCAACTGTTGTATGATAAACCTTGCTAGCTAGTTTGTGACAGGAGTTTCCACAGGTACAGGCCCCTTTCATCAGATTCATCAAGTGGCCTGAAGTGGTAGGTACTCAGACATTAAGCTATGATAGGATATGATTGCACCAGCATCCCTGTATTTTGACTCCAAATGTATTGTATTTTGTTATGTCCTCATTACTACAGCAATTACACAGGTTACCAGTTAGCTCCTGAGCCCCATTCAAGGAGTTGGTTTTGTCCTTTAAAGCCCTACAAGACTCCTTACCACTCTTTTAAAAAGACTACAAAAAACTACAACACTAACCTAAAAACTTAAGCTAAACAAGGATCATACAATATGATTAATCATTTGCTTAAACAAAGTTCCCTCCACAGTAAGGTTAATGAAGTGAAGCTATTTTAAAGCTTCTGTAGCAAACTTGCATATATAGATTTAAATCAAGTAAGTAACATTTAAGCTATTAAACTTTTGAAATTACAAAATTATGTTATTTCTACTTCTTTCCCTTATGCTTCTTTTTGTCAGACTTCCATCGGACTTTCAGGACTTTTGGGGCGGAGGCCCCTTTGGCTGAATCGGATTCCTCTTCTGGAGTACTGCTCGTTGCATTTTCTTCCCGAGCTTCCCGAGCCATATATGCTGCTTCTATCTTCTTCTTCTTGTTCCTCTGTTGTTGTTTTTTCTTCCGCTGGTCTTTGTTGCTGCTCCAAGAACTGGTTTG